GACAGATGCCTGTTGATGATAGTTACAGCCTAGCTGGTCACCACAGAGGTGTTAGGAATGTCACATGGAGCAAACGCCTTTTCACTTTCAAGTCCAAACTCTGTTTCTGGTCTTCAAACAAACAAGTGAACTTTATACTAACAGAGTAAAATGTAGTGCTTCTGCAGAGGCCCTGAGTTCAGTTCTCAGCACCCACTTCATTCAGCTCACCACTGCATGTAATTCCAGTTCCAAGGCATCTGTTACTGCTGCCCTCTATAGGCATCTGCATACATCTGCACAAAAGTATCCTTATTTACACACAGACATGCATATATTTAAAAATTAATAAAAATAGACTGCAATAGTTATTAACTTATAAAACATGACAGAAAGCTAAAAAAAGAAGAAATCACGAGAGTAAAAAGAAAATAAATAGCATGGTAGTCAATGTAAACACAAGTAGAAATATATATGTATAATTATATATATAATTATTTGTGTATATTCCAAAGGAACATTTGTGACTTTGAGATTAGCAGTCAACTAACATTGTTTTATAAATCCTACCAATAGGAATAATGTCATAATCCCTGAGACAGAAAAATTAGCTGTAAAAAGATGAGAAAACCTATGGAAACACTGACCAATTGAAAGCCAATGTTGCTATATTAATAAAAATAAAATTGGACTCTGGTTACATAGTAATTTTTTATACATACTATATATAAAACTTTTATTATGTAGTAATCCCTAAACTACAACATTTTATCCTAAAGGGAGGCTATAATACTCAAGGAGTGAACAAAATTTATAATCTCAGGAAAGTCACAAGTCTCAGGAAGTACTCAAAACTATCAACATTCACAAGGTCCCTACCAAGGTTATGTAAATGGTAACCACTACTGGGGAAGAGAGACTCTCCATTCTGTTAAGCTGCCTGCCAGTCAGTCAGGGAGCTCCAAGGATTCAGCTTTTGTGAGTCATAGCCCATACTGGGTTGGGTTTTTGTGTCCTCCATGCTCCCGGTGGTGACCCCATCCTACTCCCAACCTCATTAAACTTATCCATTTGCCAAGTTGGACTTGAGTAGAGACTTGGGTGGAATCATGTCTTTGGTCTGTTGCCAGTGACCTATTTGTGGTGAGTAGATGTCTCCTCTCATCTTCCCAGGAGAAGTCACAGAGCAACTTCAGAAGAAGGATCATGACTAGACTCATAATAATTATGGTCTATATTCTCCAGAGAAACATCAGTACTTGACAATCTTTTCACTAAATAGCAGAGTCTTAAAATCCCTTAATATTGACAGTACTGCTAGGGAGAGTAATCAAACCCAATATCATGGTGAAAACTTTGATATATCACCTCATGAAAATCAATGGTACAATCTATTTCCCTTAAAATTTCATTTCCTTACAGAGGAGTAAAATTCCATTGCGTACCCATTCTACATTTTCATATGCTTGTTGGTGAACATCTAGGGTGGCTCCACTTCCTTGTTATTATGAATAATACAGCAACAAGAAATATTCGTGGAGATGAATGGATCTGGAAAGTATTAAATGAGATGGCCCAGGCTCAGAAAAATAAAATCCTCAGATTCTATACTTCTGTAGGTCCTAATTTAATGTTTGCATGTGTGTAAACAAGAGGGTGTGAGAGTGGGTATTGCTGTGGGATGGTCTGTATGTCAAAATGCTCTGATTGGTCAATAAATAAAACACTGATTGGCCAGTAGCCAGGCAGGAAGTATAGGCGGGAATAACAGAGAGGAGAATTGAGAGACCAGGAAGGTGGGGGGGGGGGGGGGGATGACGATGATGACGACGACACTGCCAGCCACAGCCATGACAAGCAGCGTGTTCAGATACTGGTAAGCCACAACCCATGTGGCAAGGTATAGAATTATGGAAATGGATTAATTTAAGCTATAAGAACAGTTAGCAAGAAGCCTCCATGGCCATACAGTTTGTAAGCAATATAAGTCTCTGTGTTTACTTGGCTGGGTCTGAGCGGCTGTGGGACTGGCGGGTGACAGAGATTTGTCCTGACTGTGGTCAAGGCAGGAAAACTCTAGCAACAGGGTGTAGGCTATGAACTCAATAGGGGACCATGGGAGGGTGTTGAGGGAAGAGCAGGACAAAAGGTCACCTGTGACATGAAAGTGGAGAGGATGGTACAGGGGGTGGGAAGAAAGGGAAAAGCATAAACAAATTTTGCTTAAAAAATACCAAGGCTTCTGGTTCATTTATTTTTTTATTTATTTATTTATTGGATGGGTTTTCTGAGTGTGTAAACAAGTGAGTCTCTGTATCTCTATCTGTGTTTTTTTTTCTTTTCTTGGGCTCTTTCCCTTCTGTTTGTTTGTTTTGCCCTATTATGACGTGTTATTTTTGTTTCATCTTATTTTATTTTATTATTGTCCCTTAGAGTTCTATTTGTGTTCTAAGGAGAGACAGGAAAGTGGTGGATTGTATGGGAGGGAATGTGGGGAGGAGCTGAGACGAGCAGAGGGAGAGGAAACTGTAATTAGGTTATATCATGTAAGAAAAATCTATTTTCAATAAAAAGGAAAAATAAATGAGAAAAAAATGCCATAATGAAATCTAGTACTTTGTATGCCAATAAAATAAATGAAAAGTATACAACCAAACCATGAAAACAACAAGAAAACCAAGGATAATGGCCAGATGGTCATCAACAGAAAATGGAAATGTGGCGGGGATATATGACGGACTTTCACTCACTTGTAAAGAAACATGAAATTTGAAGGAAAAATGAATGTATATCTCATTTTCATTACAGGACAAAGCAAAGTCTTTGTCTGTTGTTTTGTAGTTAGACATTAACAGCCTTGGAGGCCATTAATGATGGACCTTCTTCATAATCCACTTTGGACGCTATCTCCCATTTCTTTGGAGACACCAAAAAGAAAAAGATTGTAATTGTGTTTCCTTAAGATTTTAAAATGCTTTATGAAAAGGTGGAGGTTTCAGGGTTTTGCTGAGGCCCATTTAAGGGACTGTTACTTCCTCCTACTCAAAGGAGTTTCCACTCAGGGGTATACTCTTGGCCCTGGGTAGAGACATGAATGGTTAAAAGATTAAAGCATTACATACCATTGTCCCCTCCCTTAAGAATTAATCCAACTCCTCAGAAAGTCTGATTCTTCTATAGACCTGCTAAAGAGATGGGCAGACTATTTACATCTTTAATGAAATAATGTGCTTATACTTCCCAGAAGCCTCTGTCTTGACTCAGTTGCTTTCATATCTCCACTTCTTGTCTACTTTTTGGAGTTCTAACTCAGAAAGATTAGCTTTTCCTATCTCTCTCTCTCTCTCTCTCTCTCTCTCTCTCTCTCTCTCTCTCTCTCTTTCTGTCTCTCTGTCGTTGTCTCTGTCTCTGTGTCTCTGTGTCTCTCTGTCTGTCTCTGTCTCTGTCTCTCTCTCTCTCTCTCACATATACGGGTGGGACTTATCATTGCTTCTTTGAAGTCTCCCACGTGTCATACAGCTGCCTTTATCTGCTTGTTGAGCTTCATTGCTGAACCTGCCTGGCTTCTTGACACCTGACACAAAAGGCAAGGCTGTCTTTCCTCTCATCCATCATCCCCCTCCTCCCAGAAGCTGCTCTGATCACAGCTTGCCAAGCTTGTTGATTTACTCTCAGTTTCTCATGGGCTCCCAGCCTTCTTTTAGAGTTCATTTAAAAATCCTTTGGAGACATCAATTGAAGTGTTTATTTATTCAAGAGAACACATGTCTACCTCTTCTCCAGAGATGGAGGAGAAGGTGGTGGTGTGGGCAGGTTTAAAATGCTGAATTAATGAGACTCTGAATACAATGGAGGGATTTTGGAAACACAGGTCTAAATTTGATCTCCCTGGTGTGGGAGCTTCCCTTGGGGTCTTCAGGTAAATGCACAAAAACCCTCTGCTCCCTCTAACATTGAGTCTTATGTGAATTTCTATCATTCTATGCTGTAGGAATTGCAGTGGAGGCAGGTGAGTTACTTACTGGTGTGAGTGGGCTGAGTATCTTGGTCCCAGGCATCCATTCCAACAAGACTAGAGGGTGCTGGATCTAAGGCAAGCATCTGAGAATATGAGGCTGTTTGTCTGGAATTCAACAGGCAGGTACAAGTGTAGAATCTTGACTGTAAGTGGCTCTAGTATGGGGGCAAAGAAGTGACGACTGGGAGAGGAGAAGGAAGGGCTGATGCAGTACATCTGGATCTTATGTACCCAGGGTCATTGAGTCCTTCCTAAGCTCTGCTTAGGGTCTATTCCCCAACGACTGAAATATCCTGCCTCTTGTTTTCTCTCATTGAGTAGTTTTTACATGCTAGATTTTGGAAGTGCACGAAGATAAATGAAGTTGAAAAATCAATTAAGGTCAAACTAAGTGAAAAGCAATTAAAATAAGACTTGCTGTTTTGTTGTCCAAAAGCACTGGGCACCTGGAAGCCTTCCTAGCACCTCTTCCTCCTTACATACAATTAATTATTGGCTTTCTCTGCAACTCCTGCTCCTGCTGTTTCTGCTCAGGAGGGTGATGAACAGAGCTTGATTTGGCCCATTTTAGCATTTGCATACCTCATTGACTTCCCTAAGGGTGCATACATTTAGTGTGTTGTTGATTGACTTGTGGTAGCTGATGTCCACAACAGGACTTGGGCCAAATCAGGTCCTTCAGTTTAGCAGACCAAATTACTTTCTCCCTTGTGGTCCCATAGACTTCTTATTCTACACTAATATTTTCAGTTAGCATATTATTGCAATTAGCTGTGTAAAATTCTACCTGGCTGTAACGGTTCTGTCTCTTCAAAGATGCAGATCATATCTTATTCAACTGTTCATCTGATGTAGTTCCAGGCACACTCACAGTGAAGAACAATAAGGAAGTACTGTAAGACTCTGGTATCATAAAAAAAAAAACAAAAACAAACAAAAAAAAAACAACCCTATGAACACAGTATGAGCCTTCAGTTCTTTGGGAAAGGTCATCTGCATCAACATGGATATTGCAAACCACACTGTTCTTAGTTACACAATCTTCCATTTGCTTGGCATCCCTGGCCTAGAGGACCAGCACATGTGGATTTCCATCCCCTTTTTCCTTTCCTATGTCACTGTCCTGCTTGGGAACAGCCTGCTCATCTTCATTATCCTCACAAGGCCTAGTCTCCATGGACCCATGTACCTCTTCCTTTGCATGCTGGCAGGAGCAGACATTGTCCTCTCCACATCCATAGTTCCCCAGGCCTTGGCCATCTTCTGGTTCCATGCTGGGGAGATTGCTCTGGATCGCTGCATCACTCAGCTCTTCTTCAGCCATTCTACCTACCTCTCTGAGTCAGGGATCTTGCTGGTGATGGCGTTTGACCGCTACATTGCCATTTGCTACCCCCTGAGGTACACCACTATTCTCACAAACTCTCTGATTGGGAAGATTGGAGTGACCATCTTTCTGAGAAGTTATGGTACAATTTTCCCCATAATATTCCTTCTGAAAAGATTGACTTTCTGCAAAAATAATATTATTCCACATACCTTTTGTGAACACATAGGCTTGGCAAAATATGCTTGTAACAATATCCGAGTAACCAGTTGGTATGGGTTGTTTGTCCTCTTGTCAACAGTGGCTTTAGATGTTGTGTTGATTTTTGTTTCCTATGTGCTGATCCTCCGTGCTATCTTCAGCATGCCCTCCCAGGATGCTCGCCACAAAGCTCTCAACACTTGTGGCTCCCATGTTTGTATCATTATCCTCTTCTATGGGCCTGGGATCTTCACAACTCTTACTCAGAGGTTTGGGCGCCACATCCCACCTCATATTCACATCCTGCTGGCTAATGTCTGCATTTTGGCCCCACCTATGTTGAATCCTATCATTTATGGCATCAAGACCAAGCAAATCCAGGAGCAGGTGGTTCATATCTTGTTTACAAAACATAAGTGAATTTGGGTCAAAAACTCAGAACTCAGATTTTGGAATCAACAGTTATCTATTGAGTGGTATTTGGAACTGGTGGATGGGACAGGTCACTTGACACATGGCTCAGTGAGTTCTGCATCTGGAGCAGCTTTACCAGGGAGGCTGTTTTATTAATAACCCGTGAGAACAGTGTCATGCTCTCACATATTGTACTGAGCAGAGTCCTGTGAAGATCTGGGGTAGATAGGGCTGTTCCCAGACATCTTGTCCCTGTGACACTAGCATGAATTTTGGAAGTAGACAAAGTGATTGAAAACACTCTGTTGTCTTGGAATTTGCTTCATGGAGTTTCTCAAGCTCTGAGACATTTATGATATCCCTGGACCACCACATAGATCATTTCATTCCTTCATGCTTTTCATTTTAGTTAAGTGACTTTCTGGGTCAGTGACTCTTGGTCTCTGCAGTTATTTCTTATTAAAACATTCAAGGACTATGCACATGTGTGTAGCTGGGACTGTAAGGTATGTGGTTCCCATTGTGCAGAACAACCTTGAGGAGCCTGAGTCTGCTGAGTTGTTTTGGGAGAAGGATGCTGTGCTGTGGTTCCTAAAGGGGTGGTGCCTGCTGGGAGAACAACAAAGGAAGTCAGGCTGTGTACTTCAGTGATGTTTTAGGGGACAATCAAATTCTTCACGTACCAAATTTGGGTTTTCAGGGGAACTGGGGACCTAGGCTCAGATATGCATCCTTTTTGTCACAAGCAATTTATATCCTGATCTCCCCTATCCCTATGTTTATTTGTTGACAAAAAATAACAGCCATATTTGGTATTATCGAAGATTTAATTTCGTATTTCTTTATGACTACCAAAATCTTTGGAGGCCTGTCTCTCATAACAATGGTTTATCATTTACACTTTACCTGTTCATGCTATCTCATGTATTTTAAAATGTCTCTGGATTGTTGATAACACTTAATACAATGTAAATGCTGTACAGTTTCTATACTGTATTGTTTAGGGAATAAATAATAAATAAATAATGACAAGAAAAAAAGTCTGCACATGTCTAGCATGAAAACATTTCCCTCCAAGCATTTCAGGGTCAGATAAAAACTTGGTGCAAGGAATCTCCCAGGAATCTACTAGGATGATCCCAGCTAAGACTCCTAGCAATAGCAGATTTGCATAGTCTGAACTGGCTACCTCCTGTGACCAGATTGGTACCTAGCCCAATCATTATCAGAGAGGCTTCATCCAGCAACTGATGGGAACAGATGCAGACCCACAGCCAAACCTTATGTGGAGTTCGAGGGATACTACAGATGAGGGGGGAAAGATTGTAAGAGCCAGAGGGATCAAGGACACCACAAGAAAACTCACAGAATCAACTGACCTGGGCTCACAGGGGCTCACAGAGACGAAACTGACAACCAGAGAGCTTGCATGGGACTGACCTAGGCACTCTGCATATATGTTACAGTTATGTAGCTTGGTTCTCTTGTGGAACTTCTAACAGTGGAAATAATGCCTGTCTCTGACTCTTTTACTGGCTTTTGGGACCCTACTCCCCATACTGGGTTACCTTGCCCAGCCTTAATATGTGTGGAGGTGCTTAGTTTTACTACAATTTGATATGCTATGTGTTGTTGATACTCATGGGAGACCTGTCCTTTTCTAAACAGAAATGGGGGAGGAGTGGACTGAGGGGTGGGAACAGAGGGGGGATGGGAGGTAGGGACTGGGAGGAGAGGAGGGAGGGGAAAGTGCTACTGGGATGTAAAATAAATAAATAAAAAGCATCTCCCCCCAAATACTTTCTATCTGTCATTTGTTGAATCCATTGACAGAGAATCTACAAATAAGGGGGGCTGACTGTGTACATAAATACATTCTAAAATAAATTTTTGTATATTGACTGGGTCTAACACATTTTAAAATATGCAAACATTGTGGAATGGCTGTTATGCTCTCTCTTCTTCACAGAGAACATTTAATACTACATGTGCTTGGAAATAAGTTGTAAATGAAATATCAGTGGTTTTTGATGTTTTCTCCCTTTTTATGACTGTTCGCCACCAGTCATAAATCTCTGGAAAAGCCACACAAAAGGGTTGTGCAGTCTGGAATGATGAAGTCTGAGAAGCAGAGGAAGGACTCTGTTTCCAAGTTCAGTGCACAGAGCAGCCCTCAGGTGCTAACCCAGCTGGAGCAGACCCCACCCAAATAACTGAGCTGACTCAGGTTAGACAGCTGGAAGGACAGATGCCTGTTGATGATAGTTACAGCCCAGCTGGTCACTACAGAGGTGTTAGGAATGTCACATGGAGCAAACGCCTTTTCACTTTCAAGTCCAAACTCTGTTTCTGGTCTTCAAACAAACAAGTGAACTTTATACTAACAGAGTAAAATGTACTGCTTCTGCAGAGGCCCTGAGTTCAGTTCTCAGCACCCACTTCATTCAGCTCACCACTGCATGTAATTCCAGTTCCAAGGCATCTGTTACTGCTGCCCTCTATAGGCATCTGCATACATCTGCACAAAAGTATCCTTATGTATACACAGACATGCATATATTTAAAAATTAATAAAAATAGACTGCAATAGTTATTAACTTATAAAACATGACAGAAAGCGAAAAAAGAAGAAATCACGAGAGTAAAAAGAAAATAAATAGCATGGTAGTCAATGTAAACACAAGTAGAAATATATATATATATACATATATATATGTATAATTATATATATAATTATTTGTGTATATTCCAAAGGAACATTTGCGACTTTGAGATTAGCAGTCAACTAACATTGTTTTATAAATCCTACCAACAGGAATAATGTCATAATCCCTGAGACAGAAAAATTAGCTGTAAAAAGATGAGAAAACCTATGGAAACACTAACCAATTGAAAGCCAATGTTACTATATTAATAAAAATAAAATTGGACTTTTGTTATATAGATTTTTTATATATGCTATATATAAAACTTTTATTTTATAGCAATCCCTAAACTACAACATTTCATCCTAAAGGGAGGCTATAAGATTCATGGAGTGAACAAAATTTATAATCTCAGGAAAGTCACAAGTCTCAGGAAGTACTCAAAACTATCAACATTCACAAGGTCCCTACCAAGGTTATGTAAATGGTAACCACTACTGGGGAAGAGAGACTCTCCATTCTGTTAAGCTGCCTACCAGTCAGTCAGGGAGCTCCAAGGATTCAGCTTTTGTGAGTCATAGCCCATACTGGGTTGGGTTTTTGTGTCCTCCATGCTCCCGGTGGTGACCCCATCCTACTCCCAACCTCATTAAACTTATCCATTTGCCAAGTTGGACTTGAGTAGAGACTTGGGTGGAATCATGTCTTTGGTCTGTTGCCAGTGACCTATTTGTGGTGAGTAGATGTCTCTTCTCATCTTCCCAGGAGAAGTCACAGAGCAACTTCAGAAGAAGGATCATGACTAGACTCATAATAATTATGGTCTATATTCTCCAGAGAAACATCAGTACTTGACAATCTTTTCACTAAATAGCAGAGTCTTAAAATCCCTTAATATTGACAGTACTGCTAGGGAGAGTCATCAAACCCAATATCATGGTGAAAACTTTGATATATCACCTCATGAAAATCAATGGTACAATCTACTTCCCTTAAAATTTCATTTCCTTACAGAGGAGTAAAATTCCATTGCGTACCCATTCTACATTTTCATATGCTTGTTGGTGAACATCTAGGGTGGCTCCACTTCCTTGTTATTATGAATAATACAGCAACAAGAAATATTCGTGGAGATGAATGGATCTGGAAAGTATTAAATGAGATGGCCCAGGCTCAGAATAATAAAATCCTCAGATTCTATACTTGTGAAGATCCTAACTTTTAATGTTTGCATGTGTGTAAACAAGAGGGTGTGAGAGTGGGTGTAGGCTATGAAACTCAATAGGGGACCATGGGAGGGTGTTGAGGGAAGAGCAGGACAAAAGGTCACCTGTGACATGAAAGTGGAGAGGATGGTACAGGGGGTGGGAAGAAAGGGAAAAGCATAAACAAATTTCGTTTAGAAAATACCAAGGCTTCTGGTTCATTTATTTATTTATTTATTTATTTATTTATTTATTGGATGGGTTTTCTGAGTGTGTAAACAAGTGAGTCTCTGTATCTCTATCTGTGTTTTTTTTTTTTTTTTTTCTTGGGCTCTTTCTCTTCTGTTTGTTTGTTTTGCCCTATTATGACGTGTTATTTTTGTTTTATCTTATTTTATTTTATTATTGCCCCTTAGAGTTCTGTTTGTGTTCTAAGGAGAGACAGGAAAGTGGTGGATTGTATGGGAGGGACTGTGGGGAGGAGCTGAGACGAGCAGAGGGAGAGGAAACCATAATTAGGTTATATTATGTAAGAAAAATCTATTTTCAATAAAAAGGAAAAATAAATGAGAAAAAAAATGCCATAATGAAATCTAGTACTTTGTATGCCAATAAAATAAATGAAAAGTATACAACTCAAACCATGAAAACAATAAGAAAACCAAGGATAATGGCCAGATGGTCATCAAGAGAAAATGGAAATGTGGCAGGGATATGACAGTCTTTTACTCACTTGTAAAGAAACATGAAATTTGAAGGAAAAATGAATGCATATCTCAGTTTCATTACAGGACATAGCAAAGTCTTTGACTATTGTTTTGTAGTTAGACAGACATTAACAGCCTTGGAGGCCATTAATGATGATGGACCTTCTTCAAAATCCACTTTGGATGCCATCTCCCATTTCTTTGGTGACACCAAAAAGAAAAAGATTGTAATTGTGTTTCCTTAAGATTTTAAAATGCTTTATGAAAAGGTGGAGGTTTCAGGGCTTGGCTGAGGCCCATTTAAGGGAATGTTACTTCCTCCTACTCAGAGGAGTTTCCACTTAGGGATCTTCTCCTGGCTCTGGGTAGAGACATGGATGGCTGAAAGATTAGACCATTACATACCATTGTCCCCTCAAGAATTAATCCAACTCCTCAGAAAGTCTGAT